AGGCGGGGTGGGGGGTGGGGGAGTCTTGTATCTTAATCCTTTGCTTGAGTGCCAACCACTCCCCACCCTCAGCTCCTCCATGCCGATCACGTGCACGGTGTACTATTTTTAAATCTTCACTCCCCCCAGATGCGGGGTGACACCCAGGTCGAAATGGCCCTGCTGAGACAAATGCCCTGGGCCAGGGGCCTGGGAGTCAGAGGCTGTATAGGTTAATGCCTCTGTCCTGGGAAGAATAGTGGATGCGAAATATTGGGTGAACTGACTCTCTCGCCAGGGAAGGAGGGTGGGGGTGCTGCTTTGTGGTGACACGGTAACAAACAAACCCAAACAGAGCGCACGGGGCTCTGCAGAGGGAACGAAAGGCAGCGCAGAGGATGTGGACTGTCTTTGAGTCAGGGTCCGAGCCTGAAACAATCAGTGGCCCAGCAGGAGGTGAAAGGTTTGCGTGTCATGTCCTACTAGTCTTTTCCGGTGCCACTTCAAATCCAAGTCCTAGCAGTAGCTGAGGGAGCGGCGATGCGAGAGCCCCCAGGATCATTCCCTAGTGGCCTGGGAGTGGCATGCTAGCTCTTCAAAAATGCTCTTGCTCTTCAGAAACAGAGTCTGAACGTGGGGGTAAGTGAGACTGAAAATGGAGCTTCCATGGCCAGCTTGCCAATGAAAAACAAAGAGACTTGCCATCATTTTGTCTTGCGCTTTAAAGTCTTAAGGCTTGGTAGCTGAAATTTGGGGTGCTGGCCCAAAGATCCGTGAAATCCCTGCCTATGTGAAGAGAAATAGGAAACTTTCTAATGATAAGTGTTTGGTGATAGAAACTGGCTTCTTTTCCAGCTTGTCCAAGAGTTCAACACGCAAGTGGCCCTGTACCGAGAATTGGTCATTTCTATTGGGGACGTCTCGGTCAGCTGCCCCTCACTACGGGCGGAAATGCACAAGACAAGAACCAAAGGCTGTGAAATGGCCCGTCAGGCGCACCAAAAGCTGGCTGCCATCTCAGGGTAGGAGACTCTTGACATTATCTGGTAATTAGTGTATATGATGCTGGCAGAATGTTGTGATCGTCAAGGCCTCAGGGACATCCCCCGAAAATCTGAGATCTTCACCAATCACTTTGAGATTGAATAAACCATAATCAGAAAGTTATGTTATTGAAATGATACATAAATAGTAAGAAAGAAAAAAATACATATGTACATATATGATCTTGGTTATGAAGTGACTTCTAAAAAAATTGTCATTTAATTACCTTTAATTTGATGCTTACATTTTTTATGGGGAAATGTTTGGGCATCAAGCAAAATTAAATGACCATGCTTCTAGATGAGTTGTACTCTAATGCTGAACTAAAGGTCTGTGCTGGGGAGAGAAAAATATTTGCTAAATCCCAGCTTTACTAAACTATACTATGTGATAAATTCCCATGATGCTGCTTGAAATAAAGTACATAATCTGGGATATAAATTACACTCTTTCTTATAGTGACAGGAAAGTGAAGTTTTATCATAGTGAGGTTTTGTACGGATTGGGAAAATTCACAAATCTAAATTAACCTTAGTTCAATTTAACCCTTGCCCTCATTTTTAATTAATTTTTTATCACATTTATGGGTTCTCAGGTCCATGTCAGGTGGTAATAGAGTGAGTGAAAACTTCTCTCCTGGGACCCTACCTTTTTCCATCTTGACTTCAATATTGGGCAAAACTTAGCAAGGGATTTGTCAACAGTTGCTGATGTCAAGCTAGGTTCTCACAGAAGGCCTTGCAAGCATCCATGTACAAATATTTTAAGCGCTTGGTTTAGTGGTGATAGAGCTTTTAACTATTTATCTTTTGTGAGTGTAGGTTTATTACAATTCAACTGTATATAAGTCCACTCACCTGATCATGTTGTGGAATGGTCACTTAGGAAACAGCTAATTTCCCTCTTTTGCATCTTTAATGCCAATAAATATAGTGACTATTACTAGTATGTAAAGATTTAAAAAACTGCACATTGTCTCTCTTAAAAACTAGCTTATGTCTGACAACAGGCATTTTATATCATGAAGGAGATGTCCCATTTACTTGAGGTGAGGAATAAACAATACATTTTTGCAGAGTTATTTTATTTAGGAGTAATGTTGGGAAGCTTTATCCTTTTCTGTGATGTTGTATTCAACATGAAGCAAACCTGGGGAGGGATGAGGAAGTATTTCAGGAAATGCAGTTATAATAAGACCCAGACACATGACAAAAAAGACAATGTGGAAACAGAGGCAAAGTCACAATGAATTGAAAGATGGAAAAAAAGTGATTTGGAAGGAAAGCAGGTTGGGACGGGAAGCATGATGCTCAAGGCTGAGGGTGAATATCTGTATAAACCTTGTGCCACAGAATACAGGATGAGGTCATATCCAGAGGTCCTTTATGTTGAAACTCAAAATGAGGCCATGTTCTAATCAGAGAAGGTGGGATGGAAATTATTTTGCTATAGCCACGAATCCAGTTTTTGTCAGGGTTAAGGAAAACATCTAGAAGTGTGGGCTCACTTTTGTTGAGAGTTGAACATATGAGGTGAATTGGATTTGCTCTGAGCTTTGTAGCCCTTATCTATTCATCTGGGGTTGGTGTTAATGGAGGCATTTTCATAAGAATTAGTGGGAAAATAGGATGTTCTTAGATCTCTGCAAACCTAAAACTCCATAATGGTTAAAGAAAGAGTTTAGCACATTCCCCCCCTTAAAAATAATTAAATGCAATTTAGTGTTCAGTTATGAAAAATGACAGTGATATAATTGAAGGAAGTCCCTTTAGTTCCTCACCATCTGGGCTCCACTAATCAAGGATGTGATTCCCTTTGACAGAATTCCGTTTCTGATATTGCTTATTATGTGGGTCTCATTTAAAGCTTGATGTGGAGGCTGGTAGGGAAGCTGTAGGATTCACTGCAGTTTGCAGTAGGGATGAGAAAAGCACACACTGCTGGTGAAAGTAGAAAGACTGGATTTCTTAAGCATCTCCTGTCTCTTGTCATAATTCAGGTGCTTTGTGGAATAGCTGCCTGAGAGAGGGGTTGTGAACCTCAGTCTACAAATATGTCTCAGACTAAGAAGTTGTATAAAGACCCAGCTAAGAAGTGTTACAGACTTGATTGAACTCCACATTTTTCCTCTACATAATACTGATATTCAAAAAAGTGTTATGTAAAAAATTTTTATTATTTTTATTATTGCTAAAATATGATGACACTTAGAATAAGCTAACTAAAATAAATCATAAAATATCATACATTAAGGATTACATTTATATGAAATGCCTCCCTCCCAAGGAAAAGTACATCTATAGACATAGAAAGTAGATTGGTGATTGCCTGGAACTGGTGGAAACAGGTAATGACTCTCTTTGGTGTGACGGAAATGTTCTAGAATTGGACTGTATTAATACTTGTAGAACTCTGTGTATTTACTAAAACTCAGTGAATTAATCACTAAAAGTGGGTTAGTTTGTGATTCATAAAAGATACCTCAATAAAACAATTCTTTAAAGGTGTTGCCACTGTCAGTGCAATTAACATTTGATCTTTGCTGGCATTATTCATTTCTACTGGTATAGCTGTAGTAAAGGGACATGAGTTACAGAAACCAAAGAAAAATAGCACTTGGATCTGTATGCATTCATCAAGATTACTATCAATAACTAGCATCTCATCTAAGCACCAACACTCTGCTATTTGTGGGATACAGTGAGGGCAAAGGCAGAACTTGAGAGAATAAGTGAATTCACTTATTTCTTATACCATAGACCACCCTTTCCTAATCCACTAGCTAAATATGGGGCCAGAGGAAAGAGAGAGGTTTAAAAACAGACAAGGAAAAAAGAAAATGAAGGAGGAAGGCCAAAAAAGTGATTTAGAATGATGCAACAAATACTTTATCACTTTGACTAACTGAAACCCTCCAGGAATGGTTAGTGTTTCTCATTGACTGGCTCTGGTTAAGTCATCTTTACCAACACAATCAAACATTCTCATATTTCATTTGGGTTAGCAGCTGTTCTAGCACAACTTTTGTTTTGGAAAATCAGGATCTTCTAGATTGACCTAGCCAGGTGAATGGAAAGTCTCTTCTGACTCATGTGTCCAGTCAGAAGATGTATACCTTTACAACTCAGATCCTTCCCTACATGGTAAGCCTAGATGAACCTTAAAGATCAATTTTAAGAATGGCAGGTCAAAGTAGCTTATTTTGCACTGTTTGAGGTGCATGTATATGTGTGTGTGAAATGTGTGTGTGTGTCTTTATGTGTCTGGAAGTGTGTGTGTATGAATGTATGTATGTGTCTCTGTGTATGTATAAGGGTGTGTGTATGTGTGTATATATGTGTGTGTGTATGTATGAGTGTGTGTATGTGTACGTGTGTATATATGCATTTGTGTATATGTGGATATGTATGTGTATGTGAATGTGTGTGTGAGTTTATATGAGTGTGAGTGTATGAATGTATTGTATTTGTATATGTTTATGTGCTTGTATGTGAGTGTATATGAGTGTGTATGAGTGTATTGTGTGCATATGTGTGTATGTGTGTATGTGCATGTGTGTGAATGTATTGTGTGTATGTATGTGTGATTGTATATGTGTGAGAGTGTATATATATGTGTGAATACATTCTTTGTATTCACTAAAAGTGGGTGAGAGGACAGCAACAATCTAGCCCCTGTCTCCTTGGACTTCCTTGCCAAAATGAGTTCTGAGACACCTTCAAGGAATCCCCAGGGCCATTTGACACTTTATTTTTGAGGACACAGAGATTCAGAAGATTAAAGGGTCTTAGGAGGCACCTTGGCAGAGTCTATCTGGAGGTTTTGGTGTCAGACAGACTCAGGATGAGCACTCTCTTCTAGGACTTTTGATGGAATGTGTGCTCTGAATCTCAACTCCTTCACCTGCCTACAAGTTGCCATGCTTGCTCATAGGGCAGTTGAAAGAACTGCATGGGCTCAGTACATAGAGCAGGGACCATGTCCCCTGCCTGTTTAATAGCATGCCCTCCCCAGGGGTGCTCTGATACTAGAACCCAGTCTCTTGCTCCTGGGCAAGTGCTCAAACCATCAACTGTACCCCTTCCTTAAAAGGAAAAAGGGAGACTGCCCAGGTAGCCAACATACTCCAGAAAACCCCATGTTATGTACAGTGGGCTAGCTGTGAGGACTCCCTTTCCCGTACTACTTCTGTGGTGCCCGTGTTGGACTGAACCGTCCTCACTGATACCATTTGTTAATAGCTACAGCATAACTGAAGTGAAGAAGTGTACATCAGGTCTTCAAAACAGGTATAAGTAAGATAAGGTGAGAGGAAAGACACTGTGATGAGAAAGACACTGACGCCAAGTCAGATTAGATCTGGATAAGTCCTGCCTCTGCTTTACTTCACTGCTTGGTAAGGACTTATGTGTAAATCAATAAAAAAAAAAAAGAAAAAAACTGCTTCACAGCAGGACAAGTGGCCATCTGATTCACTGCCTAAGAACACTGACACTGGGGTCAGACTGTCATCTGCAAGTACTATGGCCATGGACAAAAGTGTTAACACTCTCTGCCTCTGATTCCTGAAGCAAAATAAGTCTAATAATAATGGGACCAAATCATATGCATTGTGAAGGTCTGAACTTAGAAGCCTGGATATCATATAGTGAGTGCTATTATTAAGTACAGGTAGTGTTATTGTAATCACTACAACATTTAAAATTCAGGTTGTCAAAATAACACTATAAAAATTTATACTAATCAAGCCGGGTATGGTAGTACAGACCTTTAATCCCAGGGCAGAGGCAGACAAATCTCTGTGAGACTGAGGGCAGCCTGGTCTACACAGTGAGTTCCAGATCAGCTGGACCCTATCTCAAAATAATAATAATAATAATAATAATAATAATAATCCTATTATGCCATCAAATACTGGAGTAAGTTTTAATTGCCTTTGTTTCTTAAATTATCTTCTGAGGTATTTTCTATGTTGAAA